CAGTCGACTTATACACAGTTAAAATAGGTACCTATTTGAAATGGACTCACACAAGCAACACATTCATGATTATACACAGTTCTTTAAGAGCCTCTAATATGTTTTGATAAATATTATGAATATACTCATATCTTTTTTGGGATTTTTTAAGAAGTATCAGACATTTGGCAATGCTGATACGGAAACACAGGAACAAACAAGATGAACAATAAGAATGACAGGATGTTAATGCAAAATAAAAACATGGGAATTTAGACCAAATCAAAAATCTATGACAAGAAAGCTATAATATATATCAGCATAATGTGATGAAGAAACTAAACAAGAAACATAATAAAACTGGAAACGAAGATATTACGTGGAATAGCTGTAAAGACACTCATACGACGACAAAAAGCTATGAAACACACTTGAAATGTCGAAGACATCGACATCAATAACTAGGTATTAAAAATTAACAAAGTAAAATAAACATATTAACAGAAAAGTACAATGAAGAGTGTGGAGAATTTATTTTCGTCTCTCACATCCTTTCTCATCATCGTCAGTTGGGGCTGTAGCCCTGGCCTGACTCAAAACATTCTTCCATCCTTCCCTGTCAAGTGTCTGTCTTCTCCATTCCCTACTCCAATTTTCCTTAAAAAGTCTTACACATCGTCGATATATCGCTCCTTTCTTCTTCTTCAGACTGTCCTATGCAGCATGGTTATTTTAACAGGATCACTTTCATCCATCCGTATATCGGGGCCCACACATCTTCGGCGGTTTATTTTGATGGTTCTACGATATCTGCTTCACCAAAAAGTCTATAGAGTTCGTCCTTTCATTCTTTTTAGCTCTAACTAATAATGCAATGACCACACAAGTTACTTTATTTTTATTATTTATTTGGGCTACAGAAAGATTGATCGTGAAATAAACATATTGAATGTTTTTAAATAAACTTAGGCAAAACAAAATGTGCAATCAAGTAAATAAATACTGAAGAGAAAGCAAAAAGGTAATTACATTTCAACAACTATAGCCGGAGATGCCTGTTACTAGCACAATGGCATAAAAGTACCTAGCAAGCAGTAGCTACTGCCGAAACTGCAAGTGTGTACCTTAACTGGCATGCTAGCTGATTGCAAAGAATTTGATTTTTCTTGCTAGTAGCATGCTGTGAAATGCAAGCTGCATGCGTGGAGTGTCACTGGCAGGTGTGACGCGCGCTACCGCTACGGACATGCCAGTAGCTAGCAGAGAATTGTTAGATTTGTTGTGTTGGTGATAAAAAATTAAACTTGTTAATTTAAAAAATATTTCATTGAAGCCATGAAAAAACCATCAAATTTATTCTATATATATAGAGAGAGAATTGGAGTGTCTTTTGAATTCTAAATCATCTCTATATAAAAAATAGCCTGTGACAATGTTTACACAAAAATTCAAGAGGAAATTGGTAAAGGTATTACTATAAAGGAGATAAAGGCCAAAATAAAAAAGCTCCAAGATTTTCTCGCCTACCAATCCCATTTCTCACCAAATTTTTCTCTTTTTTGAGTTCCGCTTCTGATCAATTAATATTATTTCTAACAATATCTGTGGTCATCAGCAATATTTGCTTGTGAATTCATGCGAATACCTTCCATGGATTCCCTTTTTTTGTTGGAAATTCAAAAACTTTTAATTACAAAACAAGTAGCCTGCTTACTTGCAGCCTTAACAAGCCTGCTAAGAATAATAAATCACATACTTAAAAAAAAATTGAGACCCACTAAACACACATTTTTCCTTACATATGTTTAAATATATTTGAAATATTATTGAATACTATGAGTTTTGGAGATAAAAATTCATAATTTGTTTTTCTATAAATATGATAGTACTACAGTTCAGAATAGTCGCAATGTAGGTGCATTTACATTTCAAAAGATATGTCTACAGTGCCAGATTGCACATGTAATCTACAAAAAACTTTTGGTCTCTAATGATTCTCACTAATTTCGGTCAAGAGTGGGTACTAACTATGTTATCAAAATACTGTAAGTTTCGGTCAGTATACAAAACTAAGTTAGATTTTCGAGTATACGTTAAGATATCTAGGCAACCCTGTTATTCTTTATACAATATCAATATCCGCCAATATCGAGGTCACACAACTTTGAGAGTAGCTCATATTTTAATGTTTACAGCCCATTGACGAGAGAACTCATTTTGTAAATAAACTTTTTAAATTTAGATATTTTACCTATTTACCCATGAGAGGTTGTAAAACTGGGATATAGAGATTGATGTCTATATATGCAATATTTAGATCCATAATTAATTGGACAGTACTTAGAGCGTGATATTTGGTGTCAAAATAGTATATTCAAATCAATACATTTTTTAATTCATTTTTGTTCTACAGGATGTTTTATTAATTTTATTTCCAATTATTTTATAAACAATTCGATATGAATAATAAAAAAATGGTATTCAGTAAAGTATTGCTAAATTAAATTGTAAACAAAAATGGTATACTTTTAAATCACTTTTTAAATTTTACTTGGAAAATATTTAATTAAACATCTTTCATCAAAGACAATCATAAGCTATCTTTTCTTTTCAGATGAACATTCCCGTGTTGATTTCATATAATAAAATAAACTATGGCTAAGATAAAGTCGTTCCTAATATTCACATCTTTTTAATGTTCTGTACTTTAAAATGAGTAATAAAATATAAAAGTTATAGACATATTGGTTAAACCTAAAATATTAAATGGCATTATCTAGTTTGGCAATGAAACAAAATAAGACAATTGATTTTAAAGTTTGAAAATACTTCCAGACCTTCCATTAACAAATTTGTTCAATTCAATTTATAGAGGAAAGCATGTGTTACTTACAAGAAGACATGAGTCCTTTGTATCTAAAAATCTGTTAATTGTTCATACTACGAAATGTTTCAAGCAATATTTGGTCCTCAACATGCAGTTGTGGGTATACGATGGATACTTAGTACCTCAGAGAAAGAAGACAGAGTTCTTGACCAAATTTCCAGAGTGGACATGCTACCGAGCGCCATCTACCTTGGATGACAGAAAATAGATACAACTTTGTCTCTAAACTAGGTAGCAACCGCTAAAATATTTGAAAATAGGTCCATCTTCAAGAAATAAATTCGATTTACGGATCGCAATATACTAAGCACCTGAATGCCTGTCTTTTCTCTTTAAACGTTTGTTCTTCGGTCATACTACGGCATATTAAGGATTTTATTTGAGCCTCACCAGACAGTCACCAGCCCAAGTTCTCTAGAGTTGTCCATACAAAATATATAAAGATTCTTTACAATGTTACTAGCTCAAGCTATTCGGTTGTTAAATAGAGAATTTAATAAAATGTGGCGTCTTGAAATTTAATCACTGTATTTACCATAGTATAAGCCGGAAATCTAATCAGCTTTTCTAGAGAACCAAAAATTTTATAATCTTCACTGTTAAAAGTTAATCATCTAAAGCGATAATCAGTTTGGACTTCGCATGGAATTCGGGAATCGAGGAGCACTATTTGGTAATCAAATATTGCTTAAAAAGTTGTTTCCCGCAAAAAAAAGTATTTCTGTGCTTTATCGATTACACAAAGACATTTGACTCAAGACAAATCAAAAATATGGTTTCACAATTATCACCTATGAATGGGCTGCAAAAAGATTGTTTTTATTAGGATTTTATTTTGATATTTAGATATTTATTTTCCCCATAAATTTCACCCCAAAAATTGATTTAATACGCGCTGTTTGATATTACATTGATGCTAACTAGCTACGCGAAAACCGTCTAGTGCTGACCGGATAAAAATAATTCGTACATATTTTCAAATAGACGAGGAGTGAACCACTTCCTTATTTTAGCGGAATTATCAGAAAATTGAGTTGAACCAGTTGAACATTCAAATGATGCAATTACAATGGACTCGACAAAAACTAATGCTCGATAAGGAAATCTATGTTACTAGCAATGAAACTGCGTCTTTTTTTTGTTAAACTAAGCGACAGGCAGAATAAACAAAATGCTAACGTTGTTATCAATTATCTGTCAGATGTCAATGTCAAAATGGTAAAAAATCGCATTAAACGCAATGATAAAAACAGGTATATGCCTGTATTTATTAAAATGAGTACTGCATGTAATTGGAAAAATTAGGTATTAAAAAGAATTGAAAATGGCAAATTATGGTTTGAAGCAGACAGCTAAATAAATTGTGTGTATATAAAAATAAATACTAAACTAATAACAGTTGTTTTAACCTATCTGGATGATATCTTTAATTTTGTACAGATAATACTGAAAATGACAGTTTCAAGGCTAAGTCCACAATTCAACATTAAATATTTAGGCCAATTTAAACCACATTTGGGTACGACGAAACTATTGATAAATATGATGTATTCACTTGATATGAGGAAGTGTATCAAGATCAAATACTGAAAAAATTTAACATGTTGCACTCTAAAAATTAATCTATACAAAAGAAGTTTCATATTAACAATTAACAACCAATTTAATATATCTGTCCATATAGTAAAGACCAGATATAGCTTTTTCTGTTAATTAATTTAACAATTACTTTAATAAGAGCAATTGAACACAAGTTCAAAACACAATACAAAAAAGAACACTAAACTATTTATAAGGAAGTGAAAGTCTCGGTTTAAAGTTCTGTAAAATGGATCCAGATTAATTCATAGATGCAGATTGGTCAAGTAACTTTTTAGATCGGAAATCTTATAATGGATTCTATTTTAACCTTTCTGGCTCGATAGTACCTTGGAAAAGTAGTAAACAAAATAAGGATTATCAAGTACTGTCTTGAAATATATGCCATTTTTATTACATATACTAAATTCAAATTAAGTGATAAATAATAATAATAATAAAAGAACAAATAAAAACAAATGACATGAAGTACTTCTCTTAATTCCCATTATTTTTAAACAAGTATAAAAACAGTAAAAGTTGTTAAAGCAAGACCCAAGTATTTGTTATTAGTTATCTGATATGGTTAATTATGAGACTCTCCAGTGTAATAAGTGTGACATTCAGAACTAATATTCTGTTCTCTAATTATTTCGCTCCATTCAGATTCAGGCACAAGAAAATATGAGCCACTTTCCGAACAATTCTTCAAGAAGAAAAATTCACTTTCATAAACTCGTATTTTTGAATTTGACTAACGCATTTTTCGGCGGTCGTCTTTGTCAGTCGAAAACAGTCTGGATCATCTTATGGATTTCTTTGAAAGACGTTCCTATACCTGGCAATGTCTGTTTTTTAACAACAAAAGATCGAATTTCTGTAAAAAACTCATGGCATCTCACCGACTTCTGGTATCTTTCCTCTCGACTGATGTCAACACCGAAGCTACCAACCGGCGAATGGACGTTGTTACGTATCGTATCTCCAAAGTGTCGAAGAATGAATTTGAGCGTGTTACAGCCGACTGTTAAGTACCTAAAATCAAATAGTAAATATATAAAAAAAGTATATAAAAAGTAGAGACAGTATAATAGTCGAACTGCATAGTTATGAGTACCAAACGATCTACCATATAAGAGATAGAATCATAATCTCGAACATATAATGCGTCACAAGGAAAACGAGGTAGGATGAGTTAAGTAGTAATTAATCAGCAACCAGTAATTGACCAAAGATAACTCTAAAAATAAGATACATGTAAATCTTAACCTCCAAGTAATAGGTTTCTTGTATTGTTTTAACCTTCGGCTAGTAGATGGTGTCGTAATACTACTACTTTATTTATATAGAGCGCGTCGAGAGGGCGTAACAAATTGACTTGTCAATTTTCAGTTACAGTGTGTGACATAGAGTAATAAGCATGGTAAGTGAACAGTTTTACTTAAATCTGTAATCATCGAAAAGACATATACAAACAAAGGCGTTAAATGGATTCTAATCAAAATTATATATAGAGCATAAAAGGTGTTTGATAGTATTTTAATATATTTTCGAGCTTTTTTGGGAAAAAATCGAGTGGTCAATTATGGGTTTGAAAATTATACGTATTATCTAGTAAATAACCTCATTGGTCAATTACTAGATTTCGGCAATAGTGACTATTTCCCATCTTTTTGGCTCTTACAATGCCCACTATTTATTATTTGAGTTCTTTGTCTTATTAAAATTGCAAATGAAAATCTCTATCCAGATTTTGACCACAAAAAACAGTGGTTAACTACTGGAACCGTGTAGTGGTCAACTACCGACGATCGGTGGTCAACAACTAGCTTTACCACTGGTCAATCACTGATTTGAATGGCTGCCACGGTTAAGAAAGCCAAAATATTTTTCAAATACTCAGAAAATGACCTATTACAAGCCATTGAGGATATTAGGAACAACGTATGTTCAATACGTGGTGCAGAAAGGACGTTATAATGTTCCTCATTCTACCCTTATTAACAAACTAAAAAGTAGAACCTCGGAAAAACGAAAAATGGGTCCTCCGACCGTTTAGACCGCAGAGGAGGAAAACATATTAGTGCGTTGGATCACTGCTTCAGAACATAAAGGATTCGCTCTAAACAAAAACCTGCTTTGTGAAACAGTAAAAGCTATAATCGATAGTGATGGTCGTCCCAATCGTTTCAAAGATGGCTTACCGGGAAATAAATGATTTAATACATTCCTCAGGCGCCATCCAGAAATTTCTCAACGACACGCAGAATTTATAAATACAGCGAGATCCTATGTTTCTGAAACCAGTATCAGGCATTGGCATGAAGATATACGCAGATACCTTGCAAGTGAAAACGCCGAAGATATCTTACAAGATCTCACAAGAATATTTAACTCTGATGAGTCAGGTTTTGCTACAAATCCTAAAACAAGTTTGGTCTTAGGACCAAAAGGGATGAAAAATTTCTATGAAATCAAATCTGGTTCAGAAAAAAAATGCATTACAGTTCTCTTTACAATTTCAGCAGAGGGACAAATGTATCCTCTTATGGGTGTTAACCACTATGAGAGAATTTCTGCAGAAATAGTATGAGACACAAATCCGGACAGGGTTATTGGTAAGATACTTTATTTTATTTCATTGCGTCTAACTCATACCTGATTAATTGTAGGAAGGTCTAAAAAAGGTAGGATGTCAAGCCAAACGAAGAGGAACCCTTAGCGAAAATTGCTAAAAAAGAAATGCAAGTAAAGGGCGGGGAATTTTATTTAGTTAGTTTTCCTGGGAAAAAATATCACACAACTACGTTTGTACTATTCTAAACGTAGTTAGTCGAGATGAAATAGAAGTTCAAACTCTTCGTCATCAAGTCCTGATGACGAAGATAAGTCAACCTATAAGGGTTTAACTCTTATGTAGGCTAGAGCAGCCAAAACTTGTAGGTACTGAGAATCGTATTAGGTACAAATTTTCCGCTGCAATACCTAGAAAGAAGTAAGTAAGAAAGAAGGAACAAAATTTTTAAACTTTCTTGTATAATTTGTCTGTTATAAACCACAGAATACGTGGAAGTATGGCTTACATGGAGATTACAAACTGTTACATTTATTACATTAATTGTATATTACAAAGAATTCATACTTACGCTTCATACTTGCTTTGCAATAATTCTAAAATTTTCGGTAATACCAAAACACACAGATCGAGATTCCACAAAGAGCTAAAAACAAATATAATCAACAAAAACTGTTTAATTTAAATAACGCACCATGCTTACTATTTTGTATTGATAACACCTAAAAGATCTACTAAAACTGCAACATCTCCCATAGCTACCGCAGATTCCACAGCAGTTTTCATGTCCTTACTTCTGTATTGGGTAAGTACTAATCTTAAACTTCTTTTCCTAGTGTTTAATATATCCATAATCGGATCATGTCCACGCATGATCACGCCCAATACTTCAGCTTCTGACATGTCTGGAAGTTGTTGTTGAAAACCTGGAGAGGAGTAGTTCTTCTGAAAAATTATAATTCTGAAATTGATGAATTTCGCAAAAACGTAGGATAAACAACAACAACATTGAGATGCCATACTTTGTTTAAATAGGTATCGAAGAGTAAAACATTCTTATACCGTTTTTGACAAAACATATTTACATACAAACAATTGCTATAAATTTCAGTAATTTTTTTTTGTATTTTAGCCTTGGTTTAGAACCTTTAGCCATGTAATAACATACAAATATTAGTATTCATTCATTCAGGATTGTATAGGGAGGACAGTTGTTACGCTTAGAGCTTCATCAGGCCGACTTCATTCTAACACACAAGACATAAATAAACCACGGTTAGATAGGTGGCCGCAGGGCATCACCGGAAAGTTTGGCTTGGGAGAGAGAAATCAAAGAGGTGAACGGCTAATAGAATTCTGCCAAGAAAATGACTTCGCCATTACAAATACCTGGTTTCAACTTCCAGAAAGGCGTCTTTACACGTGGGAAATCCCCTCAAGATGGACATCAAGGCAGAATAGTACGGAATCAAATCTAGTCAGTGAAGCAAGTTATCGGAGAGGCCTAAAAATCAACATTTCAAAGACAAAGTGGATGGCAGTTGGAAAGATCTATATAGATCAAGGTCTGCTTTCTCTTAATGGAGAAGAGATAGAAAGGGTAAATCATTTCAAATACCTTGGCAGCTGGTTAAATGTAAATTGTGACTCTGATGAAGAGATAATATCCAGGATCGAAATATCACGTAAGGCTTTTATGACCTGGAAACCAGTTTTATGCAACAGAAACTGTCAATGAATATTCGTAAGAAGGTCCTGAAATGTTATGTGTGGTCGATCCTATTGTATGGTTGTGAGACATGGACGTTAAAAACCACAATGCTAAACAAGTTAGAAGCATTCGAATTGTGGTGCTATAGACGAATCCTAAAGATATCGTGGGTTTCGCACACTATCCAATGAAGATGTTCTTCAAATGATCAATTCAGAACGTCTGCTCATAAACATCATAAAGAGGAGAAAAACAGAATACTTCGGCCATATAATTAGAGGACCTAAATACCATTTACTTCGTCTTATAATACAAGGAAAAGTGGAAGGAAAGAGATGGATTAGGTCGAAAGAAACTTTCATGGATGCGTAATATTAGACAATGGTGTGGTTCCACAGTAGAAGAATTATTTCGCGCAGCAGCCGACAGAGAAAGGTTTCAGGAAATTGTAAAACATGATGACGGCCCAACGTCTGAATACGGACACGGCACCCAAAGAAGAAGAAGATAGTTGGCCAACAAATAGGTACACATACAAGGAAATATCCATTCAAACGATCAAATGTTTCATTCCCACCTTTGATTAAGTTTTTACACAAATATCATAATCAATTTAAACATTTTTGTATAAACCTGCTCTCAGCAATTCTTGCAGCAGCCACGTACTTGTATTGATATGTAAGGGACAGTTAAAGAATATTATTTAGATTAGTATACTAGTTCCACATTCACATCTGTGTGTTGGGAGAACTCCGATTTTATGTAGATGGTTCGGAAAATGTCCATGATCTACTTTTAATCTTTTGATGGTCAACAGTCGACACTGTATTTCTAATTGGTGCAAAATTTTGTAAAATTGATTCGCAGCCACTGTTGGTTGTAATTTAAACAAATTAGTGCCTGTAGTTTTAACAAACTATGCTGTTTCACATATGCAAGGAGCTCACATGTGTTAAATTCTTCTATCAATATATGTGGGTGCTTAGTAGATTTTTAGCTATTGAATCCGCAATACCATTGGCCAATATGTCTGAATGTTCCTTAAGCCATAAGAATTTAACATCATATGATAAAGCTGATAATTTTAGAAACTCTTATGCTTCAGCGGAAAAGATGCTGGATTGATTATTTAAAGTAAATGTTCTTTTAGTCTTTATTTTTGATATACAGTAAGCACTGGTTGTACATCTTACTAATTTTGACCCATCTGTATAGATTGCAATGTAATCTGAATAGTTACTTAAAAGTGTTATGACAAAATTCAGTGCAATGATTCCCAAATAGGATTATAAGGAGAATTTATTAACTTAAGTCCATTGCAAGTCAGACAGGGATGGCGTGCTTTCTCCGTTTCTTTTTAGCATAGCTCTAGACTATGTTCTCTCCAAACTAGACTCTGACACAAGAGGGATACAATGGACGTTAACCACACGCTTAAGCGATCTAGAATACGCCGACGATATCTGCCTGTTAGGACAAAGGTTCCAAGATGTGGCTGACCAATTGGAAACACTTTCCACTGAAGCCATAAAATAGGTTTGAAAATCAATATTGGTATAAAACCAAATCCATGAGAATAAATGCAAGAAACAACACGCTATTCACCATTAATAACATGCAGATTGAAAATGTGGAAAACTTTACGTATCTTGGAAGTGTCATAACAGAAAGCGGAGGTACAGAAGACGATATTCGTATGAGGATACGAAAAGCGCAACAAGCTTTCAGCATGCTCAACCCTGTTTGGAGGTCTGGAGAATACACTACGAGGACAAAGATCCGCATATTCCAGTCAAATGTCATGTCTGTACTACTTTACGGATGTGAAACCTGGAAAGCGACAAAAACCCTTACAGACAACTGCAGGTCTTTGTTAATAAATGTCTACGAAGAATTGTTCGTATTTTCTGGCCTAACATCATCAGAAACGAAGACTTACTACACCTAACCAAACAAAAGAGGGTAGTAAATGAAATAAAGTCCAGAAAGTGGGGTTGGATCGGTCACACACTCCGAAAAAATAACTCCAGTATTGCAAAGACTGCCCTAGAGTGGAATCCCCAAGGAAAACGAAAAAAAGGTCGCCCAGTACAAACTTGGAGAAGATCCATCATGGACGAGATAAGAAAACAAGGAAAGTCTTGGAATGAGGTGAAGGCCTTAGCGCAAAATAGAACCCGATGGCGCGTTTTCACTGAAGCTCTATGCTCCACTTAGGAGTTCAAGAACCTTATATATATATAAGTCCATTGCAAGCTACAAATACTTTTGCAAGTGGTGGGTAATTCTTTTTTAAGAAACAGTAGTTGTTAAATCAGTTGTATTTAATTGATTATTTATTTTAGCACTATAGGTGCACCGATAATGTTGGATTAGGAAGTATTTGCTTGCCAGATATTCTCTGCGTAATGAGAGTTAGTTTTCAGAAACTAAAACCCATGTGGCTTCATTTGGAGAGCTTTTCATCAACCCTGGCACAATTTTCAAAGCTTTAAAATGGATTCTATCAAGTTGACATAAATTAGTTATGCTAGCTGACCTATATATCAAACAGCCGTAGTCTATAATGGATCTTAGATAAGCTAGATAAAAATTCAATGCAATATTTCGATCTGCATCTCACGATCTCTTACAAAGCATGTTAAGTAAATTATTATCTTTTTTGCAGCGACTACTTGTTTAGTAATATGTTGAGTCCAAAGCAGTTTTCTGTCAAGTATTAATGCGGTAAATTATTTGAACATTTGTTTTTTAATTCCATTTAAAAAATTTTAAGTATGTAAAACTATTACAATATTTCATTTAATGATTAATAAAGCAGGCTCAACAGGGATTTAAAATCTTGACATCGCGCGCCCAAAGCGAGAATTATTAGCGTAGAATATTATAAGAAGTATCTATCCAGCGATTCAAATCACATTTAATTCAAACATTTACCGAGTTATTAGATTATAAATATGCAATTCCACCAGGAAATCCATGAAATATATACATTATAACTAGACTTCGGCAAATATGCATATTGCATATTTTGCATATTGTGCATATTTTATATAAATATTTCATATTTTGGCATATTTGTATAAAAGTTTGCATAAAGTGCATAAAAACTTCAGATTTTTTATACTGTATTTGAAAATTTTTAAACATACCAATTTATTTCAATTCTTGTATAAAATTTTGTAGTCATTTTAATCAAGAAATGATCTAAGTACGTAATCTCTACAGATACAAAACATTTACAATTTCAAAGAAGATCAATTTAAGTAGCCCTCAACATTCTTAGAAAGTCTCGATCACTGAGGCATTCAGTTATTGGATAATCACTAAGGGTTCGCTCATTTGCATTTTATGATCTAATCCCCAAATCTATCTACAATTTATTGTATCTTAACAGCAGGTAAAAGGCTAATAGTTTTGTTCCTAATTTAGGGATTTTCCAAAATCTCCCAGTTTATTGAATTAGGTACCTAAACATTTCTAATTTGATGCTCAGATTTGTAAATCATTTTTGTTTTGATATTCAAAGCGTAAACACTCGTTGTGCGTAACAAAAAGGAAGATTGTGATTTTATACTGCCTAAAAACAACCAGTGCTTCAACTTGGGTTAAACCTTATAAAGAGCTGTCTATGGATATGGGAAAAATCTACTGTTGAGTCTGTGGCAAAACTGTAAGTATCTAATATTTTCTATTAAATATCTAATATTTCATACATACAGGGTGTTTCCAAATGACACTTACCGTTTGACTGTAGATACTTCTCGAAAAATTGAACAAAACGATATAGTTAATGAGGGGTCAAACTTATTTACTTTTCGAGATACAGGATGTTGAAATTAAAAAAATTAAATTCTTTTAGTTAATAACAACAATAACTTTAAAACCAATAAACGTATTTACTTGAAATTTAGTACTCGTAGGTTGTTTTTAAATGAAAAATAGCTTCATTTAGTGAGAAAAAATTGTCCATGGTACAATACAATGGTGTGTATTTAGACAAATTTTTCACCTTTACTTTTTTTATGAAGTCAGCTATTCTAAAAACACAATTATTTTTATTGTAATTGAATTAACAAAAAAAACTTTTGTTTAATTTTAAAATAAGTTATATGATGTACTAATGGTTAGTAACAAAAACTAATTTGTGGATTATTACTGCATTTAAAACACTTAGCGAGTGTTTTTTTCCAAACCAGTTATTTGATTAACCAAAAACACCTTGTATATTTTTATATTTTAAAGGTTGGGTTAAAATAAAGGTTTTTATTTTTATTTATAGATAGCATGTTAGAAGAAATTTCAGATAGACCAACATGTGAGAACTGCTTCACACATTGCAAAAAAAAAGGAAAAATAGGAGGAAAACATCAAACTTCAATGGCTAAATGTTTCCAATCTACTTCAAAAAAATTAGATGAGCAAGAAACTTTTAATGAAGACTTGTGTGGCGCATTAGTGTCTGCAAACATACCGCTTTCAAAATTAGCAAATGTAAATTTTAGTTCGTTTCTAAAAAAATATTGCAAACTTAATGTTCCAAGTGATCGGTCTCTAAGAAGAAATAATGTGAACGGGCTATACTCGTCGGCGTTAATTAATAGTCTGTAGACGAAACCACTGATTCCTCAGGAAAGTATATTGCTCATTTATTGATTGGTGTTCTTAAAGAAGATACCTTACCAAAATCTCATCTTATTTCATACCAGCAACTTGAGAAAACAAATGCTATAACAATTTCGCGTTTTATACAAGAAACATTAGCAACTTTTTTTCTTCCGACAACTATTCCTTCTAATAAATTACTGCTTATTTTATCGATGCTGCTCCTTATATGGTGAAAACAGGACAAAATTTAAAAATATTTTTCCCAGATTTAATACATGTTACTTGTGTAGCGCATGGATTAAACAGAGTTGCAGAGGAAATACGAAAAAAGTTTCCTCTTGTAAATACCATGATATCCAGTGTCAAAAAAGTATTTCTTAAATCTCCTATAAGAATTCAACTTTATAAAGAAATGCTACCTAACATTCCTCTTCCACCACAACCTATTTTAACGCGATGGGGAACATGGTTAGAAGCAGCTAATTTTTATGCAGATCATTTTGTTAAAATAAAGAACATAATTGATACGTTAACAGATGAAAGTTCCCAATCTTTTTGGATTCTAAACAAACTTTTCAGAGTAACTTGCTTCAACAAGAACTTTCATTTATAAAATCAAATTTTAGTTTTGTTCAAAAAACAATTACTCAGTTAGAATCACCAAAACTGTCATTGTTCGAAAGTACAGCATTAATAAAAGAATTTGCGTCATGTTGTCGGAACGTTAGAGGTAATATGGGAAAAGATATTTTAAAAAAATTTGAAGCTACTATGGAAAAAAAATAAAGGTTACCATATTCTTTCTGAAGTAGTCAGTGTTCTAGCTGGAAATATTTCGGAAACAATTAATTTAGAACCAAATGTTTTGGTTAGTTTTTTGAACACCACTTGGTCAATTTATTGTTACCATAATTCTAAATAAGTTTATTCATACTTAAAAATGATTTAGTTACTTAAAATAAATGTAAATCTTAATGAATAGTAGGAAATATTTAGTTATGTACACTTTTTTTTTTAAATAAAATTGTTACTATTTTACGATTTTTTTATTTATTTGTATCCATATTTTGTAAAATATTTGCATATTTTCGGGTAAACACGTGCATATTTATGCGCATATTTTCTACATTTTTATTTGCATATTTGCCGAAGTCTAATTATAACATACATTTAAGTCTAATTATAACACATTTCAAGCTTATTGGTTATCATCAGACATGGGCAAATATTAAAAATTCCAATTTAGAGACTGACAAGACAGCTACTAATCTTCTAGTGCCGTCTCCACAAATGAAGGTTGGCTATAACCATTGCAAATTCGTCTCTATCTTCTGCTTTTCTTAAGAGCGTCTGTGTGCTTAATGGTATCTTCAAAATTCTCCTAAAAGGCCACATGGCAAAAGCTTCCAGTTTTCACATTAAGTCAACATTAACAGTCCAGGCTTCGACACCATAAAGAAGAAGGAGTGGATTTTACCATCCGATATCGGATTTGCAGATTGAGTCTTTGGTTACTCAGAAATTTCCTCATCTACAAAAAGGCTGCTCTTGATTGCTCTATTCTTGAGCGAATTTCTGATTTCGGATTCAGATCTTCCGTAATCCAGACTCCTAAGTATTTCATTTTGTCCACTTGCTCAATATCCTCATTTTTTATCTGGATCCTTGTAATGGCTTTGCCCCTCTTACTGATAACCACGGTTTTTGTTTTCTTTATGTTAAAAACTGTTCCCCAGTATCACATTATTTATAATATACTTGATCCTTCTGTACAGTTTTCAAGAGCTTGCGACAATAATTCTAACAAGATTATCTAAACACCAGTAGGTTACCGCGGTTTCAAGCTTATGAAATATCATCAGACATGCGGAAGTGGGTTCAGTTTACCGAAAGTACAAGCTGAGTATAGCCGCAAATGTCAACCATGAAATAAAATTTTTCGGTTTGGCAGTGTTGGAGTGTTTTTATAATGGATATGTTGTATGCTTCAAATATAAAGAGAGAAAGCTTTTAAAAAGTACATTTTGATTATACTATTTTATAAATTCAGCAATTTTTAATTTAATGAAACAATAACGAGTAAATATTTGCCTCTTTCGAGATTAATTGCTAACATCTGTTGCAATCTGGCAACTGCTGATTTGACGATTGCCAAATCTATCACCTAATCTATCAAAAAGCAATTGCCAAAAAAATTCCAATAATTAAAATAATTAACTGCAATTAATCCTCAAAGAAACCAATATTTACTAGTTGTTGTTTTATATAAATCAAAAATTGCAGAATTCATAGCATAATATAATCAAAATATACTTTTCTAAAGCTTTATCTCTTTATATTTGAAGCATACAGCTTATAAAATATAAAAAATCAGCTTGTACTTTCGGTAAACTCAACCCGGAAATGATTACAAACTTAAATCAAGAAACCGACAATAACTATTAAGTTGCATATTTTCCTAAAGGAAAGTCCAAAGATTCATTGGGCGGACTATATACATTAAAAATGAACCATTACATACATTTTGAGGAATTACGTAAAAATTGTGTTTTGGAGTTTCAATTTATAACTTGATATGGTTAATATAATTTATACCAATACTTATAGCAACGTTTATTAAGTAAACAGTAAGTACTCACTGGTAAGAAATCGTCCATATCCAATCCCACAGGGCGATCAATTGAAACTGGAACAAACACGTTTTCGTTTCCTCCGGTGGGTTCCTCAGGACTAACTCTTGCTGAGTTCACGTATACGTCTACTTGAGGAAGGGTATTGGATTTGACTACAGAACTCCTGGCACTGTTGGAATTAGGCACCTTCGAAACGTTAGGAACACTTGTAGAATTACGACTAGGTTTTGAAAAAGAATTTTTTCTGGAGGACGCCCTCGACGAGAGGGAACCTAAAAATTACAACAAAATATAAAAAAATATATAGCATCATTTAATAATTGTCATTAATAGTTAAATATCAAGCTACCAATTGCATAAATGCCCAACGAGATGACTAATTTAAATGAATAGTTGTAATAATGCTAACTACAAATTTATTTTGGATTATAAACATTTAGCAATAGGTATACCAAATGATTTCTAAATCCATTAGCGGATTAGATGATTTCAAATCAAAAAATAACACAAGAAAGCCCTGAAATTACTATTCCGGGGCCTTTTTGTGTACCCAGTTAAAAACCCAGTACCTTCTGCTCGATTACATATACAGGCAAAATATCAACGAAAATAATAAAACACATAAAAAAGAGAGAAATAACACCAGCTTTCAGAATGAACAACAACTTATGCAAATATATTAAAAACAACAAGAACCTAAATAAAAAGCGCTTACACAGTGGTGTATACAAACTTAAATATGGCGACTGCCGAAAAACTTACATCGGTTAAACTGGTAGACATTTTAATAAACGAATAGCAGAACATAAAAGAAAAACAGATTCTACATACGCACTTCGCCGTCTAGATCATAACCATTCTTTTAATGACGAACTCCAAATTCTTCAGATTCAAAATAAAGGCCTTAAGCTATCTTTGTTAGAATCTATGGAAATTAACAAATTAAAAAAACACAGACATAATTCTGAATGACCAACTTGAGACAAATAGTTCTTCCCTCCTCAACTTATATTAAAGACTATAAAATGTAAACGCATGCCAAAAATAGATTACTTGAGAAATGCACTCTGTCGAAACAGCTGTAGTGATAAGATTTTATAATAAATATTGTGGAAGTTTTGAGAAGAAAGTTTTTAGTGTTTTATTGTTATATAAATTATTTATTTCAATTGATTAAAATTTAACGCTGCGTACAAATATTTGCTATATATCCTATTTGCTAATGCACACATTTACTATCCATCATCATCAGTTGGCGCTACAGTCCTTCGTGGGCCCGGGCCTGCCTCAAAACATTCTTCCATCCTTCCCTGTCGAGTGCCTGTTTTCTTCATCCACTTACTCCAAGCTTCCTGTACATCGTCCAGATACCTGAGTTTAGGTCGCCCCCTTCTTCTTCTGACCAGCCTATTTAGCATGGTTATTTTAGAAGGATCACTTTTATCCATCCGCATAACGTGTCCCATCCATCTTAGGCGGTTTATTTTGATGGTTTTTACGTAATCTGCATCACCAAAAGTCTATCAGTTCGAAATTATATCGCCTTCTCCACAGACCCTGTTCGTTAACTCCGCCATATATGATCCTCAATACTTTTATTTCAAAGATTCGTAGTAACTCTTCATCTTGTGTCGCCATTGCCCATGTTCCCGATCCGTTGATGAGCACTGGGCGTATTATTGTTTTATAAAGTTTACAATTTGTTTCACTCTTAGTTGAGGACTTAGGCCAAAATATCAGCGGTTAGTCACGCATATTCTTTTTCTTACGTCTTTGGGTGTGTTGTTTTTGCAGTCATCCAATGACCCTAAGTAGCAGAACTGTTCAACCATTTCTATAGTTTCGTATTGCACCTCTAAATTATTTTTTGCATTCCTGATATAGCCGGCATACATTTAATTTTCTAGGAATTAATCAGTCGTCATTTACTATCCACGTTTCTTATTATTGAGAGGAACTGAACTGAACTACTTACAATTCAGTTCATCTCAATAAGAAACGGTTTCTAAAATAGCAGAATGTTTGTGACCCTATAAATTCTATTTTTGGCACCTTATCGTAACCCACAGGATACAAGGTAGTGCTGTTGGGAACACTTTTCATTTCCGTTGCAACACCGAAAAAAATACGGTACCATATTATGATTATCCTGTTAAGTTCATCTAATTTCATGCATACCATTAGTTTAGACTTCAGGTCGACATGAAAGAAGAGTATTCAATCAGAAAAATCATATAGAAACAAATAGAGTCCATGATAAGTTCAAAAATGTGTGATGTTATATATAAGTGCTTTATTACATCCGATTTTATCGAAGATACTGCTTTTAAATACGTTATGTCGAAATTGAATATTTTAAAAACCCTACAAATAATATGGCACAACAAAGATATTTTTACCAGTCACGGTAATAAAACTCCCTCTATTTAGATCATAGTAAAGAATAATATACCTTTATTAATATTTGCTTCTGAAACACTGTGTTTGATATTACTTGTAGGCTTCGGAGGTTTTTCGGGTACATCCTTACAACTACTCTGCCTCTGTAATACGAATTTAGCTGCAGGTTTTGTCCTATTTATATTGGGTAATATATTTTCTCTATTATCCCTTTGCTGTCTATTTTCATAAACCTAAAAATTACAAGTCAAAAATGTAGAAAGTATGAAACAAATACATATTAACCGACATGATATATTATACAGTCTCAAGTTTTGTTCTGCAAAAGAACATTGTGGCATTAAACAGCCACAGTTGTTAAAACGTCTCAATTCTACTTGTTTTTTTTATAATCTCCATAACTCGCCAGGATTTTAAAAATATGACTGTGATAATGGTGTCAGGAAATAAACCGATCTTTTGGTTTCCGTTGGCAGTTAAACCGAGGTTCATACGGATATTAACTAAGATTATAGAAGCTTAGCTAACACCATCGTTTACTGGAAATAAAAAAATGGCTATCAGAAACAAATAATTAGACAGTCAATGCAAATCGCGATGGGTTTCCAATTGCAAAAACTGTTTATGTATTATGAATAATTTTATTGCCCTGACGATTAAATTATAGAATAAAACTTAATTCAAAGACAAGGATGCTATTGAAAAAAAAGCAATTTTCTTCAATCTGGTGTATACTGCTTTTGCGGTTTTTCTTTCTTCAAAGAGTGAATCAAATGTGTGAGTGAATCATCGAAAATAATTTGGTAAAAAAATACTGCAATATATTATAAATTACACATCTTTGAGTTTCTGGTTATAAAGGCACCCTTTCCAGTTTATTTACTGTTATCTGTTTTTCGTATTGAAAAGAGGTTCTCATATATCTGCATAATCTTAAATAGGTGGATTTTTTGGTGAAATGACACGGTAAATTACAATTTTTTTCGTTTTATTGGTGTTTTTCTTTATAGTGAATGATTTTCTGCTATATTTGCAAAAACTATGAATTCAGAAAAAAAACAGGTTGAAAATAAATAAAAGGTAAATCCTGAGATTTTAAAAGAACATTTAATTTCAATAAACGATCACTTACCTGATCTAGATTTGATTTAGACCTCGAATAATGATTCGTGTTTAATTGTATATTAGAATTTTTGTAATTATTTAAATCATTATCTAAAGAGAGAGCTTCAAAATTCTCCGTAATAATGCTTCCTAAAATTTGAGGTTCTAAAAGCAAATAAAGATTATTAAGTTTGTACATCACTGAATTTACTTAATCGTTTACCTAAAATATCATCTTTTTCCGGTTCTTGAAATGGCTCTGGTTCGGGTGGCGGCGTCCTTTGTACTAAAACAGTTTAATTTTATTATTAGTAAATGTGTAACAAATTTAGTTTATAGCAAGTACTATAAATAAGAAAATTACAAATTCAGTTAGGGCAAGTACTAAAATTAGCAAATTTCAAAGGAGTAAATTATTAAAAAAATTATTCAATAAACAGTCAATCATATTTTATATAACTGTGATCGTACCACTAGATTGTAAGCGATTTTAGAAACTGCCAAGTGACTATACAAAAATATGGTACATATTCACTAGAACTGTACGAGCTGGTACAGGGTCTTAGAATTCTGGAATGGGCATCATGAATAAATGGAAAGTGTACAAAAGCCAACTGGCTGAAGTACTACCGGTTCGAAACAGACGACTTATAGAATGGAGAAAAAGGTACATTTTTAAGAGTGCCGTTTTGAAAGATACTTTTAAGGTTTTGAAGTTGATTCTAATTGAAAAAAAAAAAAACGTTTGATGGGTTGAGCAGCTATGTTGAGTGTCTTTAGAATAAGACATTGCATTTTTTTGCGACAAATAAATGCGTTATTAATTATAACCAACTTTGGATATTATATATTGTGTACAATAATTAACGTTGATGGTCTGCCTGAATGATATTTGGGGTAACTCGTTACAAAGTCATCTGGCTTTTGTGCCCACTTCTTTTAAGAATGTTAATTTTCTCTAGTTGTCACAAATAGTCACTATTTTTAGTATCCATCGATATGTAGCAACTCCAGGTTACTGGAGAATGTAGAATGATTAAGTCTTCATAACCAAAATCATTTGTATACTTATATAAAAATGTACTTGTATAAAAAATAACAAAGTTTTCTTATTGAGCCAGCCACATATGAAAACTTTTTATTGTAAAAGTTAAACGGGATGAGAGTAGGTATACCGATCTCAGTCGGTATACCTACTCTAGTAAATAGGTAATACATATCCGGAAATAGGTAATGGTGACTAGCATCGTGCATTATTGTGCATTAAAATAAAGGCATCACCAATAAATCCCGCGTATGGAACCACATGTTCCTCCAAAATGTCTCTGATGTAACGATCCGCCGTTAAACCTCCTCCACGTCCTACACCAGGCCCGAAAACCTACTCGGTTTACCCATCCATGGAAATGCCTGCCCAAAATATACAAGAACCGCCATCATATGACACAATTTCTTGTATACAACATTGAGCAAATCGCTTTCTGGGCCTTCTATAGACTCGACGAATCTTCGTTGCCATATAGACAGATCCTACTTTCGTCAGACAATAATATCTGACTCCATTGATAGTAGTCCCAATCCAGGTGTTCGCGAGCAAATTCTAATCGCCTTTGTTTCTGGGCTGCAGTTAGCTTGGGACTCGTAGCTGCCTTTTTGGTGTCAGGTTGGCTGCCTTCAGTCTTCTTCTGACTGTCCAAACGCTGGTAACCACACTTCGGACCTCTCTAAGCTCTTTTTTGCGATTAGCACCAATCGAATGTCGACTTCTCAGGAATTTCGATACAAGAAATCGATCATCTGTCTCCGTTGTTATTCGTTTACCCCTCCTCCTTGTCGGCGGACATAATCATCAGTATCTTGGTACCGACGATACACTCGGGACACAGCACATTGACTTAAATTTAATCTATTTACCACGGTCCTCTGGCTCAGGCCTTCTCTCAATAATGCTACTGCTCGACTTGCTTGTTCTGATGTGGTATCCATTTTTAATGCAGTTGCGAACTTAACTGACTGATGTATTAGTGGGTTTCAATGGAAATTGATGTGTACGATGTTAACCGAATGTCGGTGCGTGTCGATTTCAATGAGTCAAATTCTGACCCCCTTCTCTACGTATTGCATTATTTCTTTGTAATACGCTATCCGATTCACCAAAAAACAAAACTTTTTGAAACTTAATAATGAGGTTAATGATTGTACACTAAATATTTTTCAATTTACATTTTTTAGATTGAAACAGGAGACGTACTTTCGCAAAATAATTTTGAGTCAATTATTTGCACTCAAGTGTAGTTCAAAATGCATGTATTAAAGATATATCTGTATAAGTAGATGTTCTAAAAACCTGAATAAAGCGAATGAACAAGTGTATAGATAAGTTCAAGAATGAACTTACTTGATCTACCTCTAAATATTTCGTTATAGTCCTTCACATTCGTGATATCAGCGGTTGATTCTTCTTCTGGATCAGTTCCAGACGTGCTTTCTTCTATTGTTTTCACATCTAACATCCTTGATTTCAAACTTGGTGGTCTTTCAGCCTTTGAAAAACTTTTCCTAATGTTTTGGTTCGGCGTAAAGGGCCCAGTTTGTGAATCTAACACCGATGAAGAACTGAAGGGTTTGCATTTCTTAAGATCTACTACGTATACCTGGACATTGGTGAGATGGAAGGAGGCACCAATCTACAAAAGAAAAGTTTATTATTACGACATTCAGTAACATTGTGTTTATTTAAATTTAACCATCACGTGGAAAATAATATGGCAATTATAAACCATAATTGTTTCGTGCATACCCTAAAGGTTCAATATAACATAATAATACTCCTAATAATTAATAATACTTAATTATTTACACAATTATTTCTGAAATCTCATTGTTTTACTAATAATATTTACAGAGAGGGAAGTACCACAAAAGTATGCTGTATCTAAAATTAAAATTTACAAATTGTGCATTAATTACCAAAAACTAATAGACATTGGAAATTATTACATTCTGTTATCACCATCATCATCAATTAGCCTATATTTGTCGCCTATAAATCGATTTTTTTTTGCGTTTTTACCCCCCTACGAGGGGTGTTTTGGGGGGAAGCCCGGGAGTATAAGTAGTAAACTTTTTTGCATCTTCTTTGGGGTTCCAAAATTAATATTCTTAGCAAAACTCAGCTTGTTTGATTTTTAGAGGTTCAGTGGCATTTTCGTCTCAGTTCAGTAACGACTGAAGTTTGGCTAATTGAAGAAACAAATACTATTACAAAACAAAATCTTTGATTGTAGTTTAAGTACAAATGGTAAAACTAAGATTTGAATTTATCGTGAAGGCATTAGCTAGTGATAATAAAACTAATAGCATCACCGTAACCTCAATTAAGCCCGAGAAAAATGAAATCTTTATAATACCAATTGATATAGTTACAAAATATTTTCGATCATTCAAAATTACAGGCCACAGTATCTTTTCAAAAAGTAAAAAGAGCTCTAACAAAAAGAGTACTAAAAGAAAAGTGTGGATCAAGTTAGATAAAGATACTGTGAAAGTTTATATGGATGAAGATGGAAATATACAGTTAACGGATTTTTATAATAGAGTAAATAAAATATATACACACGACTACTGATGCGAGTCAAAACACGTACCCAGGTAGTAAATAGTAAGGAATAACTGGAAGCCTTCAAAGTCTGGGTATTCCAAAGACTTTATAAACAAAACTCAAAATAAATGAACTGGGCTTAACAATACAAAAGAGCCGGGTTCGATCCCCGGCGCAGACACCAGAGATTTTTCAATTTCTAATTTAACTGAGCCGCCAACGTGCTTCGGGGGGCACGTAAAGCTGTCGGTATCAACCACGTAAGTAGTCGTTAACACCAAGAAGTGAAATGCAAACTTCTTCGTTTCATAATGGAGGAAAATATGATGAGGGCAGACTAAATCCGGGAAAAAGAAAATACTTCTGCTGAAAATACTATGAACTGGACAGGAATAGATACATATTCAGTACTAACTTATTTGCACGATATAAAGATCAATTTATTGTAATGATGACCAAACTTGAGTAATGAGGAGGGAGTATAAAGAAGAAGTTAAAACAGTTTGTAAGGATTTTATATGAAAATAGGTGTCTACTGTAAACGGCACATAGCAAGATCCAACCTCGCGCATGTGGCGTGTGCCGACTGTATCGGAGAGGTGTGGAGAGTGGCGTGTGTTGCGTTCTGCAAATACGATCAATATAACAATTGGGATCATCCTGAAGGAGGAGAGAAGATATTCTGTTTAATCTAGAACTCGCTGGTTTCCGATTGGGTATGTATATTCAAATAAAGAAAAGAAATCAAAGCCAGCGGACTGTATAAAACTCTATTTCAAAAAGATGTGAAATTAAACATGAATATACATAACCATATACAATTACAACTAAAGAAGAATATACAAACTTAAATATTAGTTAATATGAAACACCAAAAAGATAACCATTTACAAAACAAAACAAAGATGTCGATGAATAGGTTTTAAGAACACATTAACAACAAAGGAATTCAGGATTTTGATTGCTATGGTTGAGTATGATTGGAAATAACGCATAAAATTGATATTAGACGTTAACGAGTGAAAAATATGCGCACATATAATAATAATATCCTTAATCCGTGGCAAAATGAACAAATCTTGTTGATAACAGTTACACAAAATGCAATGAGACATAATATATATATATATGAATATATTAAACATAATCTTATATACTTTAATCTTATATATACGCTAAGCCCTTTTCTGTCCACCACTTTACTCAAAAACCATATTAGATAATTAAAAATTTTTTCGGAATATTATTAGTATTACGTATGAGATTGTCAAGATATACTTTTGGTATACAAATTCACTTCCGGGTTTTGAGATGACCGGAAGTTAAAATTTACTTTAAGTTTTAGATCCCACAAAGTATATATGGATCGAAAGGTCTCGTCGAGACGAATCTAAATATGTACTTCCGGTTGCGATCCGACACCGGAAGTGACCCGAAACGCACATAAAACGTCAAGATAGAGCAAATCTCTTAAATTTCATTTAAAAAACTCGATGTCGAGTTGGTCCGCTAGTACAAATATTAATACAAAACATACATGAACTATAATCGGTGTTAAGAGAATACAATATAGAATACAGTATATGCTCTAAAATAAATGTTTATGTATACGAAAAATGTTCTCTTAACAATGTTCTATCGCGATCGCGGCACAAATGAGCTAATTGTTCTATAGCAAATAAGAAAATCTATATACCAAGTAACGTACTTAATAATATGCAGCAACATAGATTAAATGGTGTATTGTACTTTACCCCATGAAAAGATAGCACCCCCGCTATCACAAACGTCTTCAGCGACTTATATACAGGAACCACAAAGTTGACGTCTTTCTCGGCCAAAGGACCGATTCGGAATTTTGCAGGTACATTTTTCCCAAATCGCACACACAGCTGTATCGTTTGGAAGATAAAACTCGACTCTGATTTTGTAGATGAAATTCAAACCCTTAACTTATACACACACGTGTGGTGATATTTCGCAGATGCCTCGTTCTTTTAAATTAGTTCTTAAAACAGCTGTATTTTTCGTATAGGCAAATCTCAGTTTAACTATACGGGGGAAATCGAAACTACCAAAAAGTCTGTTATTCTTTTACAAATGTTTATATACAGTTACGAAATTGCAACAGCGTGATTATTGTAGATAAGATTAATATCTACACAATAGGACAAACAAGAAGAATATCCTTAAAATGTGATAGAGTGTATAGTATAGATTACTGGTTACAAAATATGAGAGCTCTTACCTGTAATATAGGAATGTCAACACTAATGGTTCAAAAAGCTATCCAAAGGTACAAAACGATTTATTAAAGAGCAAAAGAGAGAAAATCAAATAGCATAAATTTTAATAAAATCAGTACAAATACATAGAGAACTAAACAAAATTCCTACTACTAAATACTACTTACTAGTTAAGTCTCAAAAAATATTTATGTGCGCTATTGTCCATCTCGATCACTATTACAAAGATGTTGAATTTATAGATGTGGAGATGTTGTAACCATGTGTGTTTAGGGCTACCACGAGAACTATGCGAAAACTTCGAACACTTTCTAATTTATACAAAAAGGGCACTCCTGTATTGTAATTAAATGCTGTATACCAAAAGCGGAACAAATCTTTGACCTATTTTTAGAGCACTATATAACTTTGTGAGGAGTAAATCCTTGACGGATTTTTGAGGACTTCTGCCAAACAGAGATGTTGCTTCGTCCCCGTCTAAATTCGCTCTGAAAGCTCTTTTTTTTTGGAAGAGTTTTAATTGCACAAAAACTATATTACTTAAAAACTGTTGACAATGTTTTTACAATCGTTTGACAATGACATTTTTATCTTTTTTATTTAGAGTGAGTGCACTTTTGTCAAAAGTGGAGTTAAATACTAAATTAAAAGTATTAATAAATAGTTTTACATGTTCGAATCGATTTATTCGAACAATTATGCAACAATATATAATTAACGGCACCGAATAGTTACCGCTGCGCTACTGACAGCGTGGATAAACATGGTACAATGAACACATGTACCATGGTGGATAAATATGTAAGCAAGGCGCTCAGATGAAGTCGGTACGAAAATGAGGATTTGCGTTGGATCTTCGTAACTGGTGCCTACTGTACCAACTATTAATAGCAACAATATTAATTCAAAAATTTTACTAGTAGTTTATACTGACTTACCAATTGATTTGATGCCACCGAAACATCAGTAACTCTACCCCAGTAGACTGGCACGGAGTCATACAATCTGTTAGGTTCCCATCCAACGATCTTCAGATAATCTCTCGTCCCGGCAAAAAGGCATTCCCCATCGGGATTGAAAGTCAAACATCTGACCGCTCCCACATCACTCTCCGTTGATACTAAGTTGAAGTTTTCTAAATCGAAATAATTTACAGATCTATCGATGCTACCACTGGCTAAGAGAAATTCGTGTGGATGGAATTCGACACAGGTTACGGGGTTCATGTGGTCTTTAAATTCTTTGAGGACTCGGCTAACTCGAAGGTCCCAGATTTTCAGAATTGAATCTTCTCCTCCGGTTGCTATCCACTGGCCATCAGGACTAAATTTTACGCTATTGACAGTACCTACAAGTAAGAGTTAAATAAGTAATTATCTCAAATAATTAGACAATGGAACATTTATGTTGATAAACAATTAAACAGGAATTAACGAAATCAGTTTTATGAAAATCTGAAAAAACATTTGGTTAATGTCGAAGAAAAATATAAAAAAACTAATTTATTATCTGTAGTAAAGGTAGACAACTTGATTTAAATTTGTCGTATCTTATGTGTTGTATTCAAGTTTACTTTTATATCAATTTTATGTTTATACTGAGTTTCTGTTACAATGAGGACGTTCGAAGCAGGACGAAGGTGAAAAATGTAATTGGAAGAATTGCGCAAGGAGCTGGGCAAAACAACGAAAGATGGACGAAAAATAGTGTACATTGAGACCACGCAAGCACAGTCGTAGTGGAGGAAGGCCACAAAAACGATAGCTAGAAGACATTAAACCAAAAGTAGGTTGAAACTGGTTTGCAATTGATCAAAGTGTTACCAAATTAGGGACACATTTTTAATAGTTTTAAACAATAAGTTTTTTTCCAGGTTTTGCTTTTTACAAATTTCAAATCTTCTGGTGTTAATTCATTTTCTTCGTGGACCTCCCCTTTTCCCTTTTGTATTATCATTTTCAACTAATTCTCTATGTAATTTCTCTTCTAGCAATCTAACTACATGTCGGAAACATTAATCTAAATTTGTGCAACTGTTGTTATTTTTATTTTCCATATAATTGACTATATCATTGTTTTTTCTTTTTCACACATTCTTCTCTGTTCATATACATCTCCATATATAGTATTCCTATATTATTTTAATAGCTTAGTTTTTTGTTGTTAAGATAAATATGCTTGCATTGTTTGTGGGATGAACTGAGTAGCTCTCTACGTGCACCTGTTCGAAACCAGGAAAGAGAGGAGGAATAGAGGAACAGCACCTCTAAAAAAACCCAGGTTCATTTGTCTCGGATGATAGCATCCTGTAAGGGCGCCTGCCTAGGATACAAGTGAAAAATGGTCAACGGCAGATGATACAACGACTCATAATACTGCCATAATCCTGCCATAATACCTGCCCAAAACATAACGTTGCCACCAGATACAGCAAGTAAATTTGCAGCTTTCCCCAAATACGAATTCGCTGGCTATCACTATTTAAACAGATTCTGGTCTCGTCTGAAAAAAAAACACATAATTCGAAAACTGTTGAGGGAGTTGTATGTATTTTTAAGCCCACTGGAGGCGGTGCAAAACATGCCTATCTTATTGGTTGACGACTCCTCAAACCTGACCCTAAAATTCTTCTTATTTTAGCCAACGATAGCCAACTTTAGCATGACAAGTCTCTTTGGAGGGCTGATGCAGGCATAGAAAAAGTTCTCCAAATGGAAATTCTGATAGATCTATTATGTTGATCATTGGTAACTTGAAATCTACCAGAGCGAGCTCTATTCTGTATCTAATTTGTCTCCAGAAACCTATTACATATCTGTGAATCATGATCTGAGAAACACCCACTCTTTCAGCCACGCACCGTTGTAAATGGCCTTCTTCAATTAAAGCGATAATTTTCATATGTGCTGTTTCACAAATGCTTACACAATGGCAAAACCATACCAATTAAATGATTATTTAAATAAAATAAAAAACCAAAAAAGGTGTATTTTATATAAAAAGATCTATTAATTGTGTGATAAAGATACGGATTCATTAAAGTGTAAAAATTGTGAATACGAGGGGTGATGCATAACTTTTGAAACTACGTGTATTATGTAACTAATATAACAGATTTTGTTCTTTATCAAAAATGAAACCTTTCGATATCGTTGATTGTATCCATTTCCTGCATGAAGCTTATTTTAACTACTAGAAAGTAATTTAAAAAATAATTAGCTTACCCTTATGTCCATTATAAGTGAATAGAACACCTTTCTTTCTTGTATCCCACATTTTAATACTGCTATCGGCGCTTCCAGAGACCAAAAAGTCTCCATATGGATGGAAATCTATACATTTTATTGCGTATTTATGGCCATTCAATGTCCTACAATAAGAACAAATTATTAGTTTTTTAAATAATAAATAATTTAAAATTAAAAGTAAATTATAGGCATCCATAGCCTATATTTATTTTTTATTAATATTGGATCTTGAACAATATAAACTATTATTTCCATTTTCTAAACTCTTCCTATAACGTTGAGATCCATCTTCATCTTTTTGATGGTCCGCTCACTGGTCTTGTATTTGGTTTCGAAGTCTTCGCCTATGGCTCCCATCCCTCTATCCGTAACTATGCTCTAACTCACCTCAACACATCCTGTATTATACTATGTACGTAATATTTTCTTCTTGTCATTATTTCTTAACTCCAGAGTTTACCTTTTTATTACTATTACAAAAAAGAATGTCGATCCACCAAAAGCTTATTGCGAAGGAAAAAAATATAATAATAAACAAAAGTGAATATCTACAGATTATATAAAACTTTTATAAATCTTAGATATTTTCGACCACATCTACAAGACCATACGTGTATAAACTCGTCTTAACGTAAAGCTTTCAGCTGCATCTACTTTTAATATTGTTCTGAAGCTATTTTGTTGTGGCATTTTAAAATAATTACCATTTAAATTATTCCCATAATACTTATTCCCATTTAAATAGTAATTAATCTACTTTTCAAGTTAAAATATGGCCAACAGAAGAAGAAACAAAAGATTGTCGGATTTACAGACAATTTAAACAACCTAATTGGGAAATCTATTTATTAGCCACATCCTTTTTTACAGAACGTTCATCAATATGACGGTTATTCGACGAGCTGAAAGAAAGACAATCAGGCGAAAATAAACAAGGTCAATTGTATGCAGAAAGCAAAAAAAATCGGAAATGAAATTTAACGTAAAACCAGTTTATCAGTTAAAATTCTTCATAATTATACTACGAATTATCGAGAGTTTGTTGATTAGCAAGTAGGTACTGGAATATTGGACTTCGCAATCATTAAAATTACAACACCTACCTATGAAAAATAAAATTAGCGATGATCGTATTTTATTGAAAGGTACCTAAAGTTAGTTTTTAAGCATATACTTATTAATAATTCATGATTTCAATGAAGTAAAAAAATTTGGATATTTAGAAAATAAAAGTAATTCAAAATATAGAATGAGTCTTGCCTCGCATCATTCGCGTGGACTCTGTCGAAATGGAGAATGTTTCCTTACAACAGAAAGGAACATACTCCGGGAAATAATTTAAATAATATAGAATTACAGTGCATTTATATGCACAACCTGTGGAGACTAGAAAACAAAGATTAGGAGAATAGTTGGCATAATGCAAATTAACGACAAGAAAACTCCGTGGCACCTGTAGTGATAATTACATGATAATGATTAAATACTTTACCTTACAAGTTTAGCAGCTTCCAAATCCCATACTTTAAGAGCTCCCGCCCTTGATCCTGCACACACAAGTTCTTCTAATTGATTAAATTGAACACAATCCACGGCCGTAGTGTGTCCGCTTAAGCTCATAAAACAGCTCTGCTTACCAACTGCCCACAGATTGACTTTCTTATCATCTCCACCTGTCACTAGAACTCGGCCTGACTTGTGACCAAGAGCTAGGCAGTTGACGTTTGCATTGTGGGCCATAAAGTCTTCTGTAACAATAAAAAAAATGAATATTAGTAATATGTTCAAAATCTAAACGGCCAGAGAAATCACATAAAAACAGATATCGTTTATATGATGACAACATTTATTAAATAACAGCAATTCGTACAACAAAGTAACTGACATATATAGTTAATTGAAAAAACAGTCAAAATTTATCAACGCTATGAATTTAATAATAATAAAATCCGTAAAATAGTTTCGAAACACAATTCAGATTTCTGCTTATAATCTGAGCCTTCTAAAAATTACAAGGCAAACAGACGTTGATAAAAGATGTTAAAAGGGACATGGGGAATCTAAAATTTGCATTCCACGACATGTATTTTACAACTAAGCAGAAATCCTTAGCGAATTGTGCTTCTAGTACTCACACAGAGTAGATCCGAAATAAAATGAAAAATACAGCAAATATTTGATTTCACGCAAACAAATCCTATGTAGGTATCTGTCGATACGTATTTCGACCTAATAGGTCTCATCAGAACAGCTATTCATAGGAGTTCTCAACGTGAAGGCTCAGATTATAAGCAGAAATCTGAATTGTGTTTCGAAACTATTTTACGGATTTTGTAATTAGATGTCGCTATCGCGTCCGTATTGAAGCCATTTTATTGTTGCTTCTTAAAAGGCAGAAAATATTGATTTTTCACGTTGAGAACTCCTATGAATAGCTGTTCTGATGAGACCTATTAGGTCGAAATACGTATCAACAGATACATAGGATTTGTTTGCGTGAAATCAAATATTTGCTGTCTTTTTCATTTTAATAATAATAATTCTAATATCAGTCTGTTCCTTCTAGAGCCAACGTCAACATGTCCGACATGGAAATTGCAGCGGCTGCGAATGTCGTAATAATGAGTGCATATCATTATATTTTGCTACAAAAAAAGGCGAATTTCATGCCATTTTGTCTACAGCGTTACTTAAAGCTACTAGATCTTTAGAGATGCCGTATTTGGCAACTGCAGACTGAATATATGAGTGTAAACTTAAGAGGCTTTGAATCCATCTATTCTTTTATTAACTCAATTCCCAAATTTCGTAACCTTCCATTTTAGCTATATTCTGCATGAAAGGTGACTTTAACAGCCGATAGATAGAAGTTAAAAGTTACCATACGACACGGTGGTCTATTAAGACAAAATGATCTATATTTCAAAATTATAAGCATATACTTTTGTAAAATACATATTTAGCGTGTACAATTTTATACGTGTATCGGAGTGTTAATCCTAAACAACTCAACGGAGGTAGCTCAGGTGACCGAAGATCGATTTTTACATGTTGTAAATTTGTTTTTTAATGTCGTCATGGGATGAAAATTTTCTTCGATAAAGTAATTTTTATTTTCTAAAAAGAATGCTGTGTAAAATGGCAGCACAAGCGTTTTAAAAGAAAAAAAAAGACGATGACTCTTTCTATACAATCTGGCTTGTCATTGGTTTATTTTCTTTTATATTGCTGGATTGGTAAGCGGCCCCTAGACGGTTAATATTATTGTCAATATATTGAGCAATAATTTATATTGTACAATATATTGATCGTCTATAGACCACATTGAATGATTGTGCAATATATCGTGTCAATCAATATGACTTTGATTTTTATTGAGCAATATTGTAAATATTGCGACGTCTGTGTATTGGTTCAGTTTCGTTTTAACACTCTTGTTGTAAATATCGCGGTACGGTAAAAAATATGTCTGCAAAGGGAAAATGGGAAGAAAGATAGTTTTTTTATATAGTGCATCGGTCGTTACCAGCTTTGTGGAATGTCAAGAGTAAAGATTATAGTACTGAAATTAAAAAAAAAATGAACAGTACGATCAATTGCTCCAAAAATACAGAGAATATTATCCAGATGCTGATAATTTGCAGGTAGTGAAAAAATTCAATTCGTTGCGCACCAACTTTAGAAAGAAATTACATCGTATAAGGGACTCTGAAAAAAAGCGGTGTAAGGGGAGACTATGTAATTCAACCAACATTATGGTATTTTAGCGAATTGCAGTTTCTCGTGGGTCAGGACAAACCTGGTACTTCAAAAAGTACTATACAGGAAGGGGATAATGATAAGGAAAAAGCAGATAATAATATAACCTATGTGGACAGTGATAATTCAAATACTTTTTCAACAAGTTTTGAAAATCAATTGGTTCGCTAATTCTTAAATCATTTAATAAATTTTCATGAGTGTGCTTTTTTTGAACCATACTTTCATCCACCTGCGCTTATTTTTTTTAGGCCCTTGTGAAGCTAGAACTAATACGATATGCACAACTCGCCGGTTTTTTTTATTCCGCATGTTGACAGCGCAAGTTTTAGTCGGGAACTAATTTATTGTACAATAATATTAAATCGTGTGTTGGCATACTAATATTATTGTACAATATATGGTACAATAATATTGACTGTCTAGGGGCCGCTTCATGATACTATGAACTATAGATAAACCCACGCGCACGCGATCAGTCTCTTTTGCAAGTGTGACGTCACTTGGCGACAAATATCACCAGAAATCATCTGTTTTGCATGGAGTTTTGTCAGATTTAGTATTGTTTTATCATTTATCTAGTATGTTGACAAATAAATGTGTGCAATTTATATAAAACATATTTCAGAATATTAAATTAAAGATAAACTTTTATCGCAAGTGACGTCATGCGCATCGACGTACAAAATTCGATTGCGAAGTGGTTTTATCTTGGAAGTCATAGTATCGTGGGTATCAAATAAGTGGGAAGTCATAGTATCAAAATTCGATTGCGAAATGGTTTTATCTTAGAAGCCGATTAAAATTAAGTACCTAACTTTATGCAGGATGCGAAAATTACGCGACAACTAAATTATGCGCAAATAGCATAATTATACGCCGATTGGAACACTGCTGTAGCGCCAATGTGTGGTCGGTGTCGGTAACACCAGTATTGGCGCCAATCCCTTTGATGTGTATGCAAAAACCGACAGTCCACAGAAAACTCCCAACGTTGGAGCAAGTGATAAAAACTTTTGTCGGTACACACATTGGACGAACGCTGTTGGGGCCAACGTTGGCCCCCCATGTGTGGAACCGGCGTAACAGTTTAAGCATAATATTGTTACAAACGTTTGCATGGTTTTTATATTGTTTATAAGGAAAATGACATTTAATCTTTCGCATATTTTGTTTATTAGATATTGTATCACCAAATTTATCAAAAGCATTTCTTAGATACCTGTATCAAAGAGAAAAAGACTTTTTATTTGCTTATTTGTCTGGTATATAATGAGATGATACATACATACTATTGCGCAATATAATGCAAGCAAACATTTAAAACTAGAAGAAATGCGAATAATAAAACTTTTCTTAAAAGCGGAATTTCAGAAAGACACTCAACTGCGCCAAAAATGGAATATGTAGTTATATCATCCTCTAGAAATAACCTTGGAACTATGTAAACTTAATAACTTTAGAAAGAATAAAGATTTATTCAATGTTTCCGTTACGTCTGATAATTGAAATTGATCCATAACAAACCAAGAAAGACTATCTGACGCTTAACGTAATGGTTTTATTACTAAATTAATTATATGAATCAAAATATCCGATTATAAAATTATAGATCCTTCACGAAATTTTCCGCTAGAATTCAGCTCAGTGCATTACCCGCTATTATATAGCTTCTTTCAATACGTGAATGTTTTATTCAACCCAAAACGATTTCGATCCAAACAAAAGAAAACTTATTTTAGTTCTAATGGATTTCCATGAAATAAGAGCTCATTCACCCTAATTATTAAAAGAACATAAAATACACGGATATTATCCGCGTATTTGTATAATTTAATACTAGAACTTGCTTAAAATAACTGGATGTAATAAACCTACGATGGCTAGTTTTAGAAACAAACAAAGAAATACAACTTATACCATTCATTATCTGCATAATAAGAATATTATTCCTTTATGTCTACGGTGTATATCAAAAGTAACACAACTCGCTATTTATATTTTAAATATATGATCAGTTTATAAAGGGAAGTTTTCAATAAAAGTTACAAGTTACGAATGATACTTGTTAATATTTTTTTTAATTAAAAACTCGCAGCAGCATGTATCCCTATTAGCGAAAAAGAAAAAAAATAGAACAGTCCTCCTTCTCAATCCTTGAGCCTTTGTCAGGGCGTGGTGACACTCTAAAAATTATTGGCTTGCTGCCTCCATTGGCTGTGATCCTGTGCCATATGGACGGCTTCGTGTAGGGATTTCCCACCAGTTTTCATTTGGTCTGACCATCGTGTTGGACATCTTCCTCTTGGTCTTCGGCCTTCTACCTTTCCTTCTACTACCAATAGTTCCATGGTGCCCGTTCTTCTAGCTATGTGAACGAAGTAAATTAGGTATGCTCATTTTACTTTTTTTAATAGCCTATCTTTTATATGAAGCTCTTCCAGAATTGACAGGTTGGTTCTATGTTCAAAACACGAGTAGAATTCTTCTACAGACCCACATTTCGAATGCTTCGACCTTATTCCTATCAATTTTTTTGAGTATCAATGTTTCAGCTGCGTATGTAGCAATGAAAAAAATAATGGCATTGACCAACCTGAGCTTAGTATTCCTTGTTACGCTAAGCGCACACACATCGAATTTGGACGGTCGATAAAAGTTCGATCGAACAAATTCCTTTGGTGGCGCGAAGAAACAAATATGAGCGGGCACACACATCGATCGCCAAATGGCACGGCATCGATGTCGTGTGATGGTCGTGGGACACACATCGATCTTTATCGACCGACCAGAGGACCAGTTGCGTTTTTTAACACTGCTCAGGTAGTCGCTCCGTATTGTTACGTGGGTCTGTGTTGCTCATTGTAATTTTCTGTACTCCACCTAACAAACCTTTGTAGATTAAAAAACGTCATCGAATAAATATCGTGTAGTGTGCGCGCAAGGCATCATCGACAAAAGTTCGGTTGAAGTTTTATCGACCGTCCAAATTCGATGTGTATGCGTCTAGCCTTATTGTTCGGTTTTTCGCTTATCCGGCTTACCCGTTCAGCGATAGTAATCATTTCGACTTCATTCGCTGCTGCAGTATAATTATATCATCTGCGAATCCCAGGTTCCTGATTTTTGCTGTCTTCTATAGTGATTCCTCCATCCTATTCGTCTAGTGCTTTTCTCATTATATATTCCGAATATATGTTTTACAATAACGGTAATAGTAGGCAGCCCTATCGAGTTCCTTTTTTTGTTTTGAACGCATCTGAATATATTCCGTCTGTTTTAACTTTGGCTGAGTTTTTATAAGGTTTCTTATTAGGTTAACTAGGTGGTTAGACACTCCCATATTTTCCATTATACTCCAGAGGGGATCCCATTTTACTGAATCGATAGCCTTTGTGTAATCTACGAAACAGAGCAGCATTGACATGCTGTGTTTCTTTTCGTGGTACGAGTCCGCATTGTTCTTCGGCTATCTCTGGGAGTAGAAAGTTCTTTAGCCGTTCATTGATTATATGTAGCAGGGCTTTGTTTCCATGAGGAATAAGGGCAATAGTTCTGTAATTGCTGCATACATTTAGTGAATAGAATAGCAAATAATAGTACAACAATTAAATTTTGCATAAATAGTTTATTGCTCTTAAATATTGAATAATCACTTTAAGGTTAGTCCTTTCAAATGCTCCGGGATTTCGAATTCACCTTTTTCCGCACTGTGTAACGGGCACTCCACTAGTAGGTGTTATCTTGTTAGCGGGGTCTCGCAAGCATAACACTCTGATTGAGGATCTCTTGTCATCAGATGTCCATGCTTAAAGCGATTATAACTGAGACCTGAGATAAACGATTGGTGGAACTACTAAACCATGGTTGAAATAATGGTTTTATCTCAAGTAATTTTGCCTGTTTTTTTGTCATCTGCTATTCCATAGGTTAACTATTATGCTGTGGAAATATGATTTGAGATCTGTCGCTGGAGTTTTTGGATGGAACTCAATAGTTGCGTCTTGTAAGGCTTCTCGTGCATATTTATCGGCCAGATCGTTTCCTGCGATTAACCTAGACCTCCATGCATTGCTCCGTATGTGTATCATATATTACTGATACTATATCACTCGTTCTTACCACTTCTAATACCTCATTTTTTATTTCTCTATCTACATGGTAACGGTTTTCTACCTTACAAGTTTAGTTTTATTGATGCTGGAGAAGGTATTTTCAGTTATGGTTTTTTCCTTTAGACACTCATTACTCTGAGACTTTTTAGAAACATTTTACCTGAGGGTATACCATAATTTCATAATAGTTTTGTTGATGTTGGTGAAGGTATTTTCAGAATTAAATACGATTGAAAAAGGTATACAATTAAAACATCATGTGATAGAAAACAGTCAGTTGCAATAGAAAACAAAATTATAAATAACAAGATAATACAGCGCAGATATAAACCAAGAAATAAAAACCCAGCGTTTCCAGGAACCACTACATTTTTGAAAAACCGAAGGGCATGTCGATTATTGAAGAACACAGGAGAAAATACGGTATTTTCTATTATTTTACTTTGGCACCTAAGCCAGGGTATGAACCACTCCCAACATTTTTTAATCTCAATGAATTAAATAATCGAAAATACCTGAAAAATGTTTCTCCTTTTAAGAAAACGATGATACGATCATACCAAAAGAGGATTTACCTAGCTGGAAATAGAAGAAAAGTCTTAGCAACGAACAATTTCTCTTAATTAATTGGAAGTGCGAATGAGAAGTCACAGTATGATGCTTAATAATGAAAACCAAGGAAGGGAAGAACCAGCTGCTGCGTGTGTAACACACGTGCTGCTTTCTATCACATTTGCCATAGAGATAAGAGCTACGCAACCTCTTCTTGTCTTGGTGTTATTATTGATTTTTCACGTAAAACTTCTCGTAATTATTCCTAAGTTAATTGTGGCGTGAAGTTTGTACGAGGGCATATTTCTGACTACAGTTCAGACTTTTCGAACACTGAAAGGGAAATTAGAATCAACTTTTTAAAAATAATTCTTGATGCACCATATCTATTTTTATGGAAAGAGCTATAAAACTATCAAAAAATATTAAAACAACCGGAGCAAATGAAATTCCCAGCGAAATAACCAAACTACTTGACGATAAAAGTAAGTATTCTCTTCTAAATATTTTCAATATAATATACGAAACAGGGCATATACTAACAGAATGGTTACTGTCAACATTTATAATGAACCGGAAAAATAAACGTTAAACGATGTAGCGATCATCGCACCTTCAGTCTGATGAGCCATGTATTGAAAAAAGTGATGAGTACTGCATTCGAAAATTTACAACAAAATAGAAGTACAATTAAACGAAACACAGTTTGGTTTCAGAAACCACCTTGGAACCAGAGAAACATTATTCAGTGTGTAGGTCATGGTTCAAGGATGTAGGGATACAGAACAACCGGTATATTTATGTGTTTTACAAAATGTCGAGAAGGCCCTCCACCTGGTCACCCACGACAAACTGATAGGTGTCTTGCAACAAGTGGGAATTGATGACCAACATCTCCATAATATCAAAAATTTGTGTTGACATCAATGTGTAAACATAAGAATTGGTCAGAACACGACGGAAGCTGCGGAAATAAAGGTGTATTTTATCGTCTCTACTCTTTAATATTTATTCCGAATTTATCTTCAAAGAAGCTTTGGATGAAGAGGCAATTAATCAACGGAATTAATTTCACACATTTCAGACACGCAGACGGCACGGTACCTATTGCTTCCAATGAAAAAGGGTTGCAACGACTTATAGACAGGGTGACCGAAACATGTGATAAATATGGGCTAAAACTTAATACTTCAAAGATAAAACTTATTGTTCTCAGCAAAAAGGGAGTTACAACCAATGAATATCAGAGCGTATGAAGTTATAAGTTATTAAGAGCCAATAATATCACCTATTTGAGCGCTAACGTTAGCGATAACTGAAATACAAACAAATAAATAAGAATACGCATTGAAAAAGCCAGAACCGAGGTCTATAAACTAAAGAAAATTCTTATTAATAGAGATCTTACACTCAAAATCAGATTAATAAGCTGCTACAGATTCTCCACATTGTTGTATGGAATGGAGAGCTGGACCATTCCAGAGACACTAATGAAAAAATTGGAGGCCTTTGAGATATTACTGACGAATATTACGGATGTTGGGTTGATCGAATAACGAAAACTATAGAAAATCGAAAGTTACAATATTTCGGCCATGTAATGGACATCCAGAGAGATATAACCTTCTGCAGGGCAAAACCACGGGAAGAAAAACTCCAGGCCGAAGATGAACATCCTGGTACCGAATTCTCCGAGAGTGATATCGACAAGAAATTATATACTCAGGTGCAAAAAATTCGATCCATGACATATTTAATAGAGAATAAAAAACATTTTTGGAAATGCCACTTATAGATTGGCCATAGATTCAAGCAGCAACATAATGTAAATAAGAAACACAATTTATCCGAAAAAATCATTGATTTATATAAACATATGGCATTACTCGAAAATGGAGATAATGAAAAGTATTTTAACTGGCGCCCTTATAACAGCCTGCATACGTCTTGGTAGTCTGGTAATTAAATTTTGCGGGCAAATGACTACCTATCCTTATATCAGTACAGCTGTTCTAGTCTTATGCTATCTTAGATGTTGCGTCCAAATAACTTTTTTCCTAAATTTTTATTTATTTATCTCTCCACAAACACTTTTAGAACAGTGTCATGGCACATCTCATAGTGACAACATGACGACTGTTAAATACAAACTGCTCGTACATATTTATAAACTACTTAAAAATTTCTCCAAAAGCAATAAAATATGACTAAATATAAAGTTATGGTAAAAAACAATAAAATAAATAATATGACTAACGGTATTTTATTTTGTGCTAACCGCAAATATAGACATATTTTTTTCTTTTAATCAGGTGCAAATGATAATCCAGTCAAACTAGACATTATTTTTTGTAAGTTATGTTTTAAAAATGAAATTATACCATTCGAACACAAATGAAAATAATGTACAATATCTTATTTTTAAGTCACACCTGTCTTTCTCTACCAGTAATTCTAGGAATTTGACACTTAGTGACCATTCGTATCGGATAATTTTTGCATTGGAACTGTTTGAAACACAAAACTTTTTGGTATAGACCGATATCACATCTAGAATTCCTTTAAGATACTTATTTTTAATGTCATGCTTTCCAATCATCTATTTAAGGATTGTCGCTTCTGCAACTTACAGTTTTTCTTTATTTTTAACTGACCAAAATTAAATGCAGATAAAAAAAGATACACAGAATGAGTATATAAACACATTGTATATAGTGGAGTAGAACAACCCTTAAAGTTACGCCCACAAACACCAGAATTATAGCAAACAAAGAAAAAAAAACCAACAGGAAGTTAAAAAACACGTGAAAGACCAAATAATAGAAAAGGTGTAGGAAAATACGGTATATCAAATGAAAAATATTAATTAATCGTCTGTAGGATTTGATTCACGACTTTATTGGACGTCATATAAGTGGGCACACCAGGACGTTTCCCTAAAATCGTAGTTGTAAAAAAAATGGTAATTAGATTAGATACTTGACATAACTAGAGCCAACAGACTAACTCAAATACTATCTATAGCCTCCTTAGTTCCAGCGTCCTCTACATGCGACATAAAACACGCTGTGTTTAGGAATTTTTTCTAGGATGTCAGTTAGATTGGCAGCCTTAAAGGATAGTTTACTAAAAAGCCAATAGGTAGCATCACCTACTAGAATGAGTTTTTAGTTCATTCATTCGCATTTCATGACTGTAAAGGAGAAGTAAAAAATGACCGACTATCCAATTCCATGTTAAAGTTTCTATAAGTATTTTTTCTGTTTTCTACTTAGCATAAAATTCGTATTCATTGATTGAACCATGGCCTGGAATCTTATATGAATGACCATGGTTCATTCCCCATCACTTTAACCTCAGCGACTTAATAAAGAGAAATGACAGCCTATCTCTCTCACAAAGACTTTAACCAATCATAAACAAAAAAAATAATCAAAAGAAGCAATGTTAATTCTGTCAAAAGTAATGACAGATCTTCTGTTTGTTTACAAGTTTTCAATTTTATTTTATTATCTGTAACTTTCGTTTGCATTTATTCTTAGTAATTTTAATTTAAGTTGGTTACTTAGTTTTTTAAAGTTTAGTTTGAGTTACCTATTGTAGCAAAGAATTTTTATGTTGTGCTAGTAAAAAACATGGTAAAGTATTGTATTGTTCCGTTGTGTACAAATTATGGAAAAATTACAAAAACGAAGATGATAGTAAGTTGTCAGGAAGCAAACAATAATAGTATTTAACATTTGTTTCTGAAAACATGTGTAATAAATATTATGTAATTAGTTTATAACTGTTTTATCTTAAATAACAAATAAATAAATAAAATAAATAAATTAATAAAGTATATCTAGAAAAAATTGTGCATTTTTTATATATCCTTATTTTCCAGTAAATTTTAATTAGTAAAGAAATAGGGGAGACCGATATAATATTCTTCAACTTATTATGATGGGTAAAATCGAAAAACGCAGAGGAATTGGTAGAAAGCAGGCCTCTTGGTTGAAGAATATCAGGGAGTGGACAGGAATAAAGAAAGCTGAGAAACTATTTAGAATAGCTCGAGACAGAGACAGTTTCGCCATGTTAATCGCCAACGTCAAGGGGACTTGATAGGGCACGTTAAGAAGAAGAAGCAAATATGGCCCGCAAGAGGCGCTAAAGGTTATGTATGTAAGGGGTGTCTATTCGAATTTGCCGCCAAAAGGTGATTAGTATTGACCCCAGCCGCAAGGGATCCTAATGAACGAAATTTATACATTGAGTTGCCTATCTATTTCTACCATGGACGTATAAACACAGATGGACTCAGTTATTTACATAAAATTGTGAAGTCAAAATTATTTGAATATGTCACATTCTCAGCACCTCTAACTGTTGTCACGTTTTTTTATTAAAAATTCTTATTCGCGAGTCGCTGAAAATATTACTCCGTATTTTATACTCTACAGGTGCTATCAAACCAAAATAATAATTTATTGGTTATATTAATATATCTAATTGTAATCAAAATATCAAGTGTGCACATAGTGTGCATTATCATTTAATAATAGCGTATAATAGATATCAATAAATTATTTTATATTTAGAAGCACTGAAAACTATTTATAAATGGCAACGGTTGTTTACATTTCTCTGTTTTACGGTTCTACGTCAAACTTCAAATGCTATTCCATGTTTGTTTACAACGATTGAGGAAATAAGGAAAAATTGTTTTTAGATAATTTTGGCTGTATTTTGAGTGATATTTGTGAAAAGTGAAATAAAATAAACGAAATATTTACATCCCGGTCTTTCATTTCATTTGTAAGTACATAAAATTTACATTATTTAGGATGAGGAAATGAAAAAGCGTGTTTGTTTACATTTTAATAGGCGTACCATTGGGTTTATTCATGTTCATTAATGTATTCAATAAGATATAATAAAATTGTATTTTAATTTTTCTATAAAGACGTGATTTGTTAATAGTTAAATTCTCGTTTTTTTTTAATTCTTTGAACGTGTTTTTATACATTATTACTAGGTACTTCCAATTTTTAAAATCTGAATAATTACCCGCGAGTAAAAATTCAAGCACGCTTATACTCATTGCGGAAGCATCACATTCTATCGAAGCTTCAAAACATTGTGTGTTAAAGGTATCTTATTGCTGTGTCCATCTATGTTTATACGTCCATGATTTCTACTATTAGATTATTTATCTATGGATTGAACAATTATCTTGAAGACTTACTCTTTTCATTTGTAATGAGACAATTATCCTCCGTTCATATTTTTCAAGCTGTTACCATGGCAACGTTTATGTCGTTTGACGGAGACATTGGGATTTTAGACATATTTTTTTACAGTTTGGATTTGATTAGTAAAATATACAATTAGAATTTTTTTTCTTCAAATCTGTAACATCCTGATAACATTTTAAACTAAATACTAATAAAAACTATTAGGCCGAGTAATTTGTTAAGATATAAAGCTATTCTAAACTTGGAATACTTCTTGTAAACCAAGTTTACAGTTCGAAATGATAAACTAAATACAGATGGATGGTGTGAAAGATGTAAAATAGCTGTTTTCAGCAAGTTTGATGATATCTATTATGGGATCTCCTCGGATTACGATGTATTGGGCTTGAAAAACCAAAGCAAAGTGTGTAAGAGGTTACTTACACATGCGAAGGTTGTGTATGTAGGTGACGTAACGGATGAAGAAAAGAACACTAACAAGTTTTGGAAAGTCGAACCACTGATCACGTTAGTTAAAACAGATTGTTTGCTGAATCCAAAATCTGAAGTAGTAGCTATAGACGAACAAATGATTTCTTTATAGGCGCATTGTCCAGCCAGACAAGTAATCAAAACAAAGCCCATTCCATGTGGGTTGAAATATTTTGTCGTAGCTGCTCCAGATAGACTGCCACTGAATTTTTTTTACCAGGGAAAAGGTGACCATATGGTTGATGATGAACCTTTTAAACTTCTAGATGTTGGTGATACTGTGTTGAAGCTTCTGTGTACGTTCCATAATAGGGTTTCAGTTTATATGAATAGATATTTTAATTCTGAACATCTTTTAGATTTATTACATTCAGAAAGAGAAGCTACAGGTACTGGCACTTTAAATGATTTGAAAAAAGAAGGTAGGGAGGCAATTTATGAAAGAATAAGATTAGACGGGAGGTGTCTCTAATAAAGGCGTAATTTTTTATATTTAAAAGGCGTAATTTAATAAAAAAGATTCATTGAAGTCGACAGGCCTCTGGCAGTTAAGGTTTACAAGGCCAATATGGAAGGCATTTACTTCGTAGACCGAATGAAAAGTTATTACAGGACTTCTGCATAAATAAGGAAATTGACAGTCAGGGTTATCATGCATAATATGTTTGACTTCGCAATTTCAGCATCAGGGATCGAATACCGACAAGAACGACTTTTTGGAACCAACCGAAAAGATATTATGGATCTCTTAATATGGATCTCGGAGGATAGTGATCCAGATTATGAGTGTTCCTTGCCCCCTCCTCGAAAGCCACCCAGGATATCCCACTCTCCAGACTTGCTCTGTAAAAAGCACACTTTGCATTTACCAGAAATCTCAACCCCAGCAAAAAAAAATAGATGTCGAATGCCAGGTTGTTCAGCCAACTCAGCCAGAATCAGGGGTTCTACATGCCAGGTGTTCCTCTGCATCGAAGAAAACAGAAACTGCTTCAAGCTATACCATGAACTATGACCAGTGTGTCAACTCAGGCAAAATCTATGTTCTACATGTCAGGTGTTTCTCTGCCTTCAAGAAAACCGAAGCAACATCAATGTTGTGAATGAACTTACACCAGTATGTATTTATTTCCGATGTATTCATAAAAAAACAAAGCTATGTTACTCATAAAACACAAACTGCTTTTGAGAATTTTTGATTATCTTGAAACCCAATGTCACCCATAGGAGACATTGGATTTTAAAGATGGCTGCCATAAAAAAAATTGTATTATTTTTTTTTCTTATTTTGATGCCTAATGTAGCAAAAAATACACAGAAATGTAGAAAAAAAAATCCGAGACTGTTTTTGTCGTCGACCAAAAACCGAAGTCAGTAGAAAAAACACGAAATCAACTCGTAGTAAGACATGCAAGGCATAAGAATAATGTGCCGACCACTTTTTTTGATAATTATCACTGGTCTATAATAACTACTCTCAGAGAATCTCTACAAACAAAATAATGGCACACATTCAGTCGTAATTTCTTCAATATTATCACCAGGTTCTATTTGTTCACTGCTTTTGACATTTGATTATTTAATTAATCATTGTTTACTGACTTTTAGGTTTCTAATTCGAGGTCAAGTACGCATTCTATTTTGGTTATGATTCAGCAAAAGGAACCTGCTAAACGTTTTATTTTTGTGATTATATTATATAAAATAACCTCAACCTTAATCGCTATTAGTATCTCGATTTGATAATTACCTACAATACTTTACACGCACGAATTATGGATATTGTCAAAGGTAATACTTATGTATTAATATTTAACAAACATTTTTATTACAAACATTGAGTTTTTATATTAAATGATAGGTAAAAAATGAAATGTATTATGAGAGCGTAGACGGTTTACGCACATATTTAGATTAAAAGAACACCAAATATTTTGCTATACTAAAAAATTCTTCCAGGAGGGCCAAGAGACGACCAAAGAAAAAATTTATTCA